TTTCTAAGTTCGTTCTGTTCACCTTCTGAGTCCGCTGCTCACCAGAGACATGGCTCTCTTCCTTGGAAACCAGTCCAGGTTCCTCTCCTAGGGGCGAGAACGAAGCCGGTTGTCAGAGACGAAAACATAGAGAAACGATATCGACCTAGAAGACCAAACTATGGATGGAGAGCCCATTACAAGCCAAGCCAAAGGGTCACCAGCAACTGTGGGAGGTACCCTCAACCTTAACATGGAGGGAACTCTGATAAAAATGACAGTTCGTGAGTCCATATATATATATTATATATATATATACATTTATTATATACACCCCCCCCCCCCCAGTATATACAGTTCGTTCCATATATATATATATATACACACCCCATTATCCCCCCCCCAGTATATACAGTTTAGTTCCTATATATATATATATACCACCCCCATATCCCCCCCCCAGTATATACACTTTAGTCCATATATATATATGGACACAGACATATTATATATATTTATATTTTTACACCCCCATTATCCCATCCCAGCTCTGGTTCTATGATGGTTCTAGTGCGGCACTCTCAGTGTGTTTGGAGGGATGTACATATTGGGGGCGGGGTATAGGAATACAGCCCTAAGAGTAGCCATCCCCCCCAGACCATTACAGTTCATTGGGCATTATATAGATATATAATATATTATAAATGTATATGTAATATTTTTGTTGAGACCCCCTATTACCCCCCAGTTATTATGACAGTTTGCCATGATTATATCTATATACACCCCATGGACGTGACCCAGAGACTGGGTTTCCCCCCAGTATATACATGCTTTAGTCCATAGGGATATATTTTGGATCACAGACACAATTTCCAGATTTTTCAGGCAGAGTACCTGGGTTTCCTCCTTTCTGATGGTTTTTGCCTGAAGGTTGATGGATACCATGGGCATGACCAGAGACTGGGCGCACTCTCTTTCTGATGCTTTGCCTAATCTGGAACCCATGGACGTCCACATGGGAGACTGGGTTTTCCTATAAGAATTACTGATTGCTTTGCCTGAGAGTCATACGACCCCCCGTTTTTCAAGTGACCAAGACTGGGGTTTCCTTCCTTTCTGATGCAAAATACAGGTTGAATATTCATGAAAATAAATGGTGATTTGTAGATCAGGCAGAGAGATACTGGGTTTCCTCCTTTCTGGCAATGCTTTGCCTGAAGTCTGGAACCATGGACATGACAGAGGGACTGGGTTTCCTCCTTTCTGATGCTTTTGGTCATGTCCAGAGATGGGTTTTCCAGACTTTCTGAGGCTTTGCAGAAAGAGGAAACCCAGTCCTTGACCATGTCCATGGGGTTCCAGACTTTCAGGAGCAAAGCATCAGAACCCAGGTGGAAACCAGTCTTGGTCATGGGTTTTCCATCCTTTCAGACTTCAGGCAAAGCATCTGGAAAGGAGGAAACCAGTCTCTGGTCATGTCCATGGGTTCCAGAAGTTCAGGCAAAGCATCAGAAGGAGGAAACCAAAGACTTGGTCATGTCCTGGGTTCATGACTTCAGGCAAAGCATCTGGAAAAGGAGGAAACCCAGTCTCTGGTCATGTCCATGGGTTCCAGACTTCAGGCAAAGCATCAGAAATGGACGGGTCAGTGAAACCCAGTCTCTGGTCATTTCCCCTGGGTTCCAGACTTCAGGCAAAGCATCAGAAAGGAGGACCAAAACCAGTCTCTGGTCATGTCGCCATGGGGTCCAGACTTCAGGACCAAAGCATCAGAAAGGAGGAAACCCAGTCCTTGGTCATGTCCATGGGCATTTCCAGACTTCAGGCAAAGCAATGGAGAAAAGAGGAAACCAGTCTCTGGTCTTGTCCATGGGTTCCAGACTTCAGGCAGAGACTGGGTTTCCTCCTTTCTGATGCTTTGCCTGAAGTCTGGAACCCTTATGGACAATGACCAAGGACTGGGTTCCTCCTTTTTGATGCTTTGCCTGAAGTCTAGGAAACTCATGGACGTGACCAAGAGACTGGGTTTCCTCCTTTTTGATGCTTTGCCTGAAGTCTGGAACCGGGATGGACGTGACCAAAGACTGGGTTTCCTCCTTTTTGATGCTTTGCCTGAAGTCTAGAACCCATGGACGTGACCAAAGACTGGGTTTCCTCCTTTCTGATGCTTTGCCTGAAGTCTGGAACCCATGGACGTGACCAAAGACTGGGTTTCCTCCTTTCTGATGCTTTGCCTGAAGTCTGGAACCCATGGACATGACCAAAGACTGGGTTTCCTCCTTTCTGATGCTTTGCTTGAAGTCTGGAACCCATGGACGTGACCAAAGACTGGGTTTCCTCCTTTCTGATGCTTTGCCAGGCTCTAACTGCAGCTGTCTTCAGTTGTTCTCCGTTTGTGGGTCTTTCTGCCTTTAGTTTTGCCTTCAGCCAGTGAAATGCTCAATTGGGCTAAGATCAGGTGACTGACTCGGTCATTGCAGAATATTCCACTTCTTTTCCTTCAAAAGCTGCTGGGTTGCTCTTGCAGTGTGTTTTGGATCATTGTCCATCTGTACTGTGAAGGGCCGTCCAATCAGCTTTGCTGCATTTGGCTGAATCTGGGCTGACAGTATATCTGTAAACATTGCAGGATTCATCCGGCTGCTTCTGTCTTCCGTCACATCATCAATGACCACCAATGACCCAGTGCCACTGGAAGCATGCATGCCCATGCCATCACCCTGCCTCCGCCCATGCCATTGCGCGCGCCTCCGCCCATGCCATCGCCCCCCTTCTGCCCATGCCATCGCCCCGCCTCCGCCCATGCCATCGCCCCGCCTCCGCCCATGCCATCGCCCCGCCTCCGCCCATGCCATCGCCCGCCTCCCCGCCTCCGCCCATGCCATCGCCAACCCCGCCTCCGCCCATGCCATCGCACCGCCTCCGCCCATGCCATCACCCCGCCTCCACCATGTTGTACAGATGACATTGTGTGATTTGGATCATGAGCTGTTCCAAGTCTTCTCCACACATTTTTTTTTCCCGTCATTCTGGTACAGATTCATCTCAGTTTCATCCGTCCAAAGAATGCTTTTCCAGAACTGGTCTGGCTTTTTTTTCTTTTTAGATGGCAAAGTCTAATCTGGCTTTTCTATTCTTCAGGCTAATGAATGGTTTGCACCTCGTGGTGATCCCTCTGTATTTGCACCTCGTGGTGATCCCTCTGTATTTGCACCTCGTGGTGAACCCTCTGTATTTGCACCTCGTGGGGAACCCTCTGTATTTGCACCTCGTGGGGAACCCTCTGTATTTGCACCTCGTGGGGAACCCTCTGTATTTGCACCTCGTGGTGACCCTCTGTATTTGCACCTCGTGGGGAACCCTCTGTATTTGCTCTCGTGAAGTCTCCTCTTGATTGTAGACTGGCAATGATACGCCCCCCTCCTGGAGAGTGTCCATCACTTGTCTGGATGTTGTGAATGGGTTTTCCTTCACCATAGAGAGGATCCTGCGATCACCACCACTGTTGTCCTCCATGGACCTCCATGCCTTGTCATGTTGCTGAGCTCACCCAGTGCGTTCTTCTTTTCTCAGAATGGACCAGACTGGTGATTTGGCCGCTCCTAATGTTCCTGCTGATCTCTCTGATGGATTTGTTTAATTTTTTTATACCATAACCCTTTCAATGGCCGGTGTCACTTGCATGGACGACTCCACTGAACGCATGACGGAGGTTCACAGCAATAGATTCCAAATGTAAATCCCACATTAGAATCAACTCCAGACCTTCTACCTGCTTCATTGATGAAGAAATAATGAAGGAGTAGCCCACACCTGGCCAGGAAACAGCTTTTGATTCAATTATACAAATTACTTTTGCTCGCTTGAAAAAGGGGGGATGGCTACACATGTGGATGTACATACCCTCCAATTACCCCAGAGAGTGTGCACTGTCCACCCAGATCCATCATAGAACTAAGAGCTGGGATAGGAAGAACGTCCCTTACATTGGGGGGTCAGTGGGAGGAATGTCCCTTACATTGGGGGGGGGTCAGTGGGAAGAATGTCCCTTACATTGGGGGGGGGTCAGTGGGCAAGAACGTCCCTTACATTGGGGGTCGGTGGGAAGAACGTCCCTTACATTGGGGGGTCGGTGGGGGAAGAACGTCCCTTACATTGGGGGTCGGTGGGAAAGAACGTCCCTTACATTGGGGGGTCTGTGTGGGAAGAACGTCCCTTTACATTGGGGGGTCGGTGGGAAGAACGTCCCTTACATTGGGGGTCGGTGGGAAGAACGTCCCTTACATTGGGGGGTCGGTGGGAAGAACGTCCCTTACATTGGGGGGTCGGTGGGAAGAACGTCCCCTTACATTGGGGGGTCGGTGGGAAGAACGTCCCTTACATTGGGGGGTCGTGGGAAGAACGTCCCTTCATTGGGGGGGTCAGTGGGAAGAACGTCCCTTACATTGGGGGGTCAGTGGGAAGAACGTCCCTTACATTGGGGGGTCAGTGGGAAGAACGTCCCTTACATTAGGGGGGGGGGGGTCAGTGGGAAGAACGTCCCTTACATTGGGGGGTCAGTGGTGGGAAGAACGTCCCTTACATTGGGGGGTCAGTGGGAAGAACGTCCCTTACATTGGGGGGTCAGTGGGAAGAACGTCCCTTACATTGGGGGGGTAGTGGGAAGAACGTCCCCTTACATTGGGGGGTCAGTGGGAAGAACGTCCCTTACATTGGGGGGTCAGTGGGAAGAACGTCCCTTACATTGGGGGGTCAGTGGGAAGAACGTCCCTTACATTGGGGGGTCAGTGGAAGAACGTCCCTTACATTGGGGGGTCAGTGGGAAGAACGTCCCTTACTTTGGGGGGTCAGTGGGAAGAACGTCCCTTACATTGGGGGTCAGTGGGAAGAACGTCCCTTACATTGGGGGTCAGTGGGAAGAACGTCTCCCTTACATTGGGGGTCAGTGGGAAGAACGTCCCTTACATTGGGGGTCAGTGGGAAGAACGTCCCTTACATTCAGTGGGGGTCAGTGGGAAGAAACGTCCCTTACATTGGGGGTCAGTGGGAAGAATGTCCCTTACATTGGGGGTCAGTGGAAAGAACGTCCCTTACATTGGGGGTCAGTGGGAAGAACGTCCCTTTACGTTGGGGGTCAGTGGGAAGAATGGCAGCTGTAGGCCTTGCCTGGGTTTCCTATAACAGCAACCCGTGGGTTTGTGCCTCAATTAAGATGGGGGGGGGGGGGGTAACACCGAACCCCAACAAGTTGACACTGATCATTCAGTAAGAAGTGACTCGGCAAGTAATGTGAGAGTCATGACTTCCAGATGCCGATTCTTCGGCTTCCATCTACATTCCAATATACTGGAAGTTGAGAACATTCCCATCACGGCTCCTCCTGGGCGGGTCCCAACTTCCAGGAACACCAACAGCTGCACTAATTAACCTTTCAAAGGCAGTAAAGTGATCTCTTTATTGCAATTCTGAAACAAAAAAACAACAAAACAAAAAAGCCCCCCCCCCCCCCCCCCCCCCCCCCCCCCCACACTTGGACAGCTGGTGGACCAGGAATGGTTGAGGAAACCACAAAGCTTGTTGGGATGAACCCGGAGGAGGTGAAATTGGAAGGACGACCCGACACGGAGGATGGACGGGATCGGGCCGAGCGGTAGGCAGAATAGTGGCCTTTCGGTGGGGGGGGGGGGGGGGTGGGCACCCCCCTTGTGAGATGACAGCAGCAGGTCTTGTCCTTGTTGAGCCCCCCCAACAGCTGAAGCGCCAAAGGCAGCCGCCTCTTCTGCCTAGCCCTCGGCTCTGACCTTCTCCGGTTCTGCAATGAAAATGAATGGAGGAAAGTGGACTATGAATCTCGGTAAGATTTCTGCATCGACGGCCATAAGGGGGGAAGATTTCCGACTTCTAGGATCTGGGAGAGCGCACCCCCCAGGGACATACACAACCCGATACCAGGGGCCGTATACAGGGGCAGATATAGATTTCCTGGCCCTCTCCCAGCAATTCCCAGAAACATCCCCCTCACTCTGCCGACATGTCCCTCTCCCTCCGTCAGCACTTCTCTGTGAATATGTGATATGTCCCCCCCCCCACCCCGCCGCTTCACCCTTCCCACAGCTTCCTCCAGCAGATGTGTCTAAACCGCACAACAACTCGCTTCTAAGTAAAGGGCTGGAAAAGTCCCCTGGACAAAGCGCACAGACATGGGGGCGGACAGCTCCGGAAACTCCAGGGGGGGGGGGGGTGCTGCAAGCCGCGGTGACCGCATTGGTGTCAGGAGGGACGGGTGACAAGGCCAGAGCCCGCCCTCAAACCCGAACGTCCCGGATCCGAGGCTCACATGCCTCCTGCCCACCCAGGAATCATGGAGGCGGAGTCCTGACCACGCACCACCTCTAATCAGAGTGACCCCAATCCCACCTCCATGTGACCTTCTGTACCCCATTAGCAGTCATGGCCTCCAGCAGAGCAGAGTATTTCAGGAGGGAGTTATAGAGGAAGGAGAGGAGTCCTCCAGCAGTGCAGAGTATTTCAGGAGAGGAGAGTTATAGAGGAAGGAGAGGAGTCCTCCAGCAGAGCAGAGTATTTCAGGGAGAGAGTTATAGAGGAAGGAGAGGAGTCCTCCAGCAGTGCAGAGTATTTCCAGGAGAGGAGTTATAGAGGAAGGAGAGGAGTCCTCCAGCAGTGCAGAGTATTTCAGGAGAGGAGTTATAGAGGAAAGGAGAGGAGTCCTCCAGCAGAGCTGAGTATTTCAGGAGAGGAGTTATAGAGGAAGGAGCGGAGAATGTCCTCCAGCAGTGCAGAGTATTTCAGAGAGAGGAGAGTTTATAGAGGAAGGAGAGGAGTCCTCCAGCAGAGCAGAGTATTTCAGGAGAGGAGAGTTATAGAGGAAGGAGCGGAGTCCTCCAGCAGTGCAGAGTATTCTAGGAGAGGAGAGTTATAGAGGAAGGAGAGGAGTCCTCCAGCAGAGCAGAGTATTTCAGGAGAGGAGAGTTATAGAGGAAGGAGCGGAGTCCTCCAGCAGAGCAGAGTATTTCAGGAGAGGAGAGTTATAGAGGAAGGAGCGGAGTCCTCCAGCAGTGCAGAGTATTTCAGGAGAGGAGAGTTATAGAGGAAGGAGAGGAGTCCTCCAGCAGTGCAGAGTATTTCAGGAGAGGAGTTATAGAGGAAGGAGCGGAGTCCTCCAGCAGTGCAGAGTATTTCAGGAGAGGAGAGTTATAGAGGAAGGAGCGGAGTCCTCCAGCAGCGCAGAGTATTTCAGGAGAGGAGTTATAGAGGAAGGAGAGGAGTCCTCCAGCAGTGCAGAGTATTTCAGGAGAGGAGTTTATATAGAGGAAGGGGCGGAGTCCTCCAGCAGTGCAGAGTATTTCAGGAGAGGAGTTATAAAGGAAGGAGCGGAGTCCTCCAGCAGTGCAGAGTATTTCAGGAGAGGAGTTATAGAGGAAGGGGCGGAGTCCTCCAGCAGTGCAGAGTATTTCAGAGAGGAGTTATAAAGAAGGAGCGGAGTCCTCCAGCAGTGCAGAGTATTTCAGGAGAGGAGTTATAGAGGAAGGAGAGGAGTCCTCCAGCAGTGCAGAGTATTTCAGGAGAGGAGTTATAGAGGAAGGAGAGGAAGTCCTCCAGCAGAGCAGAGTATTTCAGGAGAGGAGAGTTATAGAGGAAGGAGAGGAGTCCTCCAGCAGTGCAGAGTATTTCAGGAGAGGAGAGTTATAGAGGAAGGAGGAGTCCTCCAGCAGTGCAGAGTATTTCAGGAGAGGAGAGTTATAGAGGAAGGAGAGGAGTCCTCCAGCAGTGCAGAGTATTTCAGGGGAGGAGTTATAGAGGAAGGAGCGGAGTCCTCCAGCAGCGCAGAGTTTTCAGGAGAGGAGTTATAGAGGAAGGAGCGGAGTCCTCCAGCAGCGCAGAGTATTTCAGGAGAGGAGTTATAGAGGAAGGAGAGGAGTCTCCAGCAGTGCAGAGTATTTCAGGAGAGGAGTTATAGAGGAAGGAGCGGAGTCCTCCGGCAGTGCAGAGTATTTCAGGAGAGGAGTTATAGAGGAAGGAGAGGAGTCCTCCAGCAGCGCAGAGTATTTCAGGAGAGGAGAGTTATAGAGGAAGGAGCGGAGTCCTCCAGCAGTGCAGAGTATTTCAGGAGAGGAGAGTTATAGAGGAAGGAGCGGGAGTCCTCCAGCAGAGCAGAGTATTTCAGGAGAGGAGAGTTATAGAGGAAGGAGAGGAGTCCTCCAGCAGTGCAGAGTATTTCAGAGAGGAGTTATAGAGGAAGGAGAGGAGTCCTCCAGCAGTGCAGAGTATTTTAGGAGAGGAGTTATAGAGGAAGGAGAGGAGTCCTCCAGCAGTGCAGAGTATTTCAGGAGAGGAGTTATAGAGGAAGGAGAGGAGTCCTCCAACAGCGCAGAGTATTTCAGGAGAGGAGTTATAGAGGAAGGAGCGGAGTCCTCCAGCAGTGCAGAGTATTTCAGGAGAGGAGAGTTATAGAGGAAGGAGCGGAGTCCTCCAGCAGTGCAGAGTATTTCAGGAGAGGAGTTATATAGAGGAAGGAGAGGAGTCCTCCAGCAGTGCAGAGTATTTCAGGAGAGAGGAGTTATAGAGGAAGGGGAGGAGTCCTCCAGCAGTGCAGAGTATTTCAGGAGAGGAGTTATAGAGGAAGGAGCGGAGTCCTCCACCAGTGCAGAGTATTTCAGGAGAGGAGTTATAGAGGAAGGAGAGGAGTCCTCCGGCAGTGCAGAGTATTTCAGGAGAGGAGAGTTATAGAGGAAGGAGCGGAGTCCTCCAGCAGTGCAGAGTATTTCAGGAGAGGAGTTATAGAGGAAGGAGAGGAGTCCTCCAGCAGTGCAGAGTATTTCAGGAGAGGAGTTATAGAGGAAGGAGCGGAGTCCTCCAGCAGTGCAGAGTATTTTAGGAGAGGAGTTATAGAGGAAGGAGAGGAGTCCTCCAGCAGTGCAGAGTATTTCAGGAGAGGAGTTATAGAGGAAGGAGAGGAGTCCTCCAACAGCGCAGAGTATTTCAGGAGAGGAGTTATAGAGGAAGGAGCGGAGTCCTCCAGCAGTGCAGAGTATTTCAGGAGAGGAGAGAGTTATAGAGGAAGGAGCGGAGTCCTCCAGCAGTGCAGAGTATTTCAGGAGAGGAGTTATAGAGGAAGGAGAGGAGTCCTCCAGCAGTGCAGAGTATTTCAGAGAGGAGTTATAGAGGAAGGAGCGGAGTCCTCCACCAGTGCAGAGTATTTCAGGAGAGGAGTTATAGAGGAAGGAGAGGAGTCCTCCGGCAGTGCAGAGTATTTCAGGAGAGGAGAGTTATAGAGGAAGGAGAGGAGTCCTCCAGCAGTGCAGAGTATTTCAGGAGAGGAGAGTTATAAAGGAAGGAGCGGAGTCCTCCAGCAGTGCAGAGTATTTCAGGAGAGGAGAGTTATAGAGGAAGGAGAGGAGTCCTCCAGCAGTGCAGAGTATTTCAGGACAGTATATATATATTTATTTATTTCCAGTACTTGTATATCGCCGTCAGTGTACACAGCGCTGTACATATATACTGCATTCCCATCAGGCCCCGCCCCCGAGGAGCGTACAATCTAAGGTCCCTAACTCACATTCATACATACACATACTGGGGACAATGTAGACAGGATCCAATTCACCTCCCAGCATGTCTTTGGAGTGTGGGAGGAAACCCGAGTACCTGCGCAGGCACAGAGAGAACATGCAAACTCCAGGCAGGTGGGGATTTGAACCAAGGACCCCAGCACAGCCCATTGGTGGGGGGAGGGTTGCCCGGTGCACGTTGCTCAGTGTGGATAGAGGGTACATTTACAATCATATTACCAAGAAAGTGATGACATTTGAAGAAGTAGAAACCATATGAGCCACGCAATCTGATTGCACAAGGGGTCTCCCTCTGTCGTCATCCCATTACAAGGAAGGGTCTGTCTGCGGGGGCCCCCCCCCCCCCCATTTGCTTTTCTCAGAGGGGTCATGTCCCGTGCAGGAAGTGGATTCCTCAGGGCTCAAGCTGCTGAGAATCTGCAGAATAATCCGGTCAGGTGATCCGCCCACCGATGATTCAATTCTTGCTAACAAGGAACAAGTTGGCTGAGTTTGCAGAGACTGAAGTTTCCTCCCGTGACCCGAAGGTGCCCCC